CAGGGTCGAAACATGGTCTGAAGGGGTTCGCAAGAGCGGTGCTACAAGGCATGTACCTTATCAAACACAGAGAAAATCATTCTGATGAGTGTAGTCAAGCTCTGCTGAACGGCTCCACCTACAGGCCAAGGAAGATCTAATATTGATTACGAATTTCTCCTGAGTGAGCTCATTAGAGAGGGAGGGTCTTGACTGACGACTAAACTACGTATTTAGTTCTAAGTATTTTTTCAGCACCAGGCAAAGTATTTGTGGTTTGTAGTTTAGTGCTAGCCAAAGAATCCAGGCCCCTTAAGTGAGTAGATCACTATTTGATTATTCTTCAGTAGTTTCTTTAATGTTTATACTGATGTGTGGGGACGGGGGGCTGGGGGGCTGGTGGATTGGAGAATGGGTTGGCAAATGGTTGCTCTATGAAAAAGGTGAAGAACGCCTGATATATATGACATATGCACTCATTTACAGTGTTTAATATATGTTGAAGATATACATTCATTGGTTGGAACGTGCAGCCACTGGTGCTCTCACTGGACTTCATAATGAAAAAGATTAAGAACTCCTGATATATATATATATATATATATCATTTACTGTATCTATTATGTATAGATTACATACATTTGTTGGATGGAACGTGCAGCCACTGTGACTCTCACTGGACTTGACATGATGCAAATTAAATACTGTTTTCACTGAACTGATATCAAACGATATTCATGTTCAGGTGAACGCTGCGTTCACATGATGTTACTGAATTATGGTAATAAACATTCTGATGAAGCTTATTTTATGTAATTATACAGCTATACCTAAAAAAAAAAAAACTTTCTTTAGGGTCAAGTTTGAGCAAATATGACAAATTATTCATTAAACATGATTAATCTTGATTAATTACACAAACTAATGAGATTAATCACAGTGATTTTTTAATCATTTCACAGCCCTAATTGTGATCTTTACTCTTCTGAGGTATCAAACATTGGAACAGACCAGCAGAGCCACATTTAAACAATAGTATCAAAACCCACCAGTGTAATTATTACTGCTGCACTGAATCCAGTTAAACAGGACTAATTACACTCTCTTTGGAAGGAAACAGGCAGCTGGTCAGTGTTCTTTGAAAAGATGCTCTGGTCAAAATAAAAAACTGAAAGATCACTAAATCTGTTGAAAATGTGCTCTCATGTATGCAGTCGCGAGCAAAAGTTTGGACATCCCAAACGTGAGAATAAGTAACCCAAAAGTGAGAATAAGTAACACGTCCTCTGCACATTTTAATACACATAATAAACATAAAATGTGGCCTGTAAAAAGCTGTGGCACATTTTATAGTTTATGTTTTATTTTTTTTTCTAGTTTGTTGAACTTAACAAATCTATAGAAGTTGTGCACTAAAACTGGCAGAAAAGTGTTTTATTTAAGTTCAGACTTTTGTGTAAAACTAGAAATATATTAGATTTATAAGAATTAAAATGAATATTAGAATATAGTTAGTTTTATAGTTACTTAGATTTAAATTCTAATACTGATTCTAATTCTAATTTTAATTCTGGTTCTCTTACTAATTGCAATTCTGATTGAGATTCTGATTCTAATTCTGATTCTAACACTGATTCTGATTCTAATATCGATTCTGATTCTAATTACGATTCCGATTCTAATTCTGATTCTAAAACTGATTCTGATTTTAGTTCCAATTCTGATTATGATTCTAAATCTGATTCTAATACTGATTCTGATTCTAATTCTGATTCTTGTACCAAATCTGATTCTAATTCTTATTCTGGGTCTAATTCTAATTCTGATTTTGATTCAGATTCTGATTCTAATTCTGATACTGAATTCTTGGTGCTCCCAAAAAACTTGAATTGCTGAATAAAACATCTTAAAATACTTTCTGATATCTAGTCTAGTTAATATTCTGTTCTACTAAATTCAGTTTCTACTGTATTGAACAAAATAACAGCACTTCTTAATGTGACACATGACTCCAAAGTTCTGAATCTGAGTTTATTTAATAGAACTGTGTCTGTGCATATTTGTATTGTATGGATTCACTTTCACTTTTGCAGAAATGTCCCTAATCACATCTATGTGTGTGTGTGTGTCTGTGTGTGTGTGTTGGTAGCCCACATTCGCCCTTCAGCTCAGAGGAAAGCCCTCCTAACCACACATCCTCCTGCTCTCTCTATCTCTCTCTCTTTCTCTCTCCCTGATTCTCATAAAGCCCACCCGGCCTGGCCCTGACCGGATCGGCGTCCGACTCTTCTACCCTTCCACACTCAGAACACCCTGACGCCACGCGCAAATTAAAATCGATAGGACGTAATTACAGCGTCGAGATGAAAACATAACAAAGGAGCTGAGCCGAACCCCCCTGCCACCACCACCCAAAAAAAATAAACGTGCCGCAAGGCTAATAGCCACAGCAGATTTGGGTGTGTATGGGTGTGGGGGGGGTTTGTGTGTGTGGGGGAGTGCTTGTAGCCCCTCTGATTGGCCCGATATTCAGGGAAGGGAATTTTCTCCAAAGTGTGAGGGGTGCTATTAAATATTGAAGCCGAAAGGGGGGGTGAGGGGGGTGTCTGTCTAGCCGAGTGCAGCTGAGCCCAACACAAAATCAATACGGCTCTAGCTCGAGCCCTCCCTCCAGGAGACCGCCAAGAAAGGTCACACAACAAGCTCATTTCCCTGGTAAAAGGGCCCTGCTTCAATTAGGATTCATATTATACGCCGCTGTCGCGCGAGGACATCTGCGCTCGCTCCAAAACGCACGTAATTAAGGGGAAGAGAAGCTCTAAACGAATTACGCTGCCTTCTCGCTAACATGTCGCTGTCATTCTCGAGCAATAAACATCCACTACCTGTCCATGAACGCATGAACGTGGATGACAGCGCCACTCCTAACGCACACTGCGCTAGCTGCATAGGACCCACCACCACGGCTATAACAACATCATGAATTTTATTGCTATTTACTATTTAGCCTAGTAAATGTGTACAAGCAGGGCCTCTCATGAACCAAAACAATGATCAGTCACATCAAAGAACAGTTTTTTATTATCTCATCATTCATATAGAGATATCCACCGCTAATATTTCTTGTCTAGTGTATAGACAAGAAAGAATGTTGAGGATGAGAGAATAAGATCTCTTAAAATAAGCCATCAGTATATATATATATATTTTCCTCCACTACTAGTAACATAACGAATCACTGCTAGCTGCCTAGTTAAGTAGTGGCACAGAGAGTGGAAACTAATGATAGATTAACATTGTTAGTTAGCCAAGTTCAGCTATGTTAGCTTCAGCACTAGTTTAGCCAAGTTCAGCTATGTTAGCTTCAGCACTAGTTTAGCCAAGTTTAGCTATGTTAGCTTCAGCACTAGTTTGCAAAGCTAATGTTGGGTGAACATTGTTAAGAGGAATGGGAGAAGAGAATAAGAGGTATTTTGTCCACCAGTCACATTTTGTTGAGCGTCCAAATACATTTGAAAGCACTACACTGTAAAAAGTGACTCGTCAGATCTACTTAAAAAAATGACTTCATGTGGTAACAAGCAAATTAAATAGTTTTATTCAACCTAAATAAATACTTTGAATGAACGATTCTTTCAATCAACATAGTTATTTAAGTTGAACAAAACCAGTTAATTTACTTGTTACTACATGAAGTGATATTTTTAGATAGATCTGACGAGTCACTTTTCACAGTGTAAGTTGCAGCTAACTACCTAGTTCAGTGTTGGTATAAAGAATATAAGCTAATGTTAGATCAACATTATTGGCTTTTTAGGGTCAATAACAGCACTGAGTTTCCAAAAATGTTGAAAGGAAATGGTCTTACTTGTCAGTTGCCACCAGCCAATGAATTCAGTACTGGCATAGAGAGTGGAAGCTAATGTTAGATTAAAGTTGTTAGTTGTCCAAGTTAGCTAAGTTAGCTTCAGTATGGAGAGTTTAATGGAAAGTGGAAGCTAATGTTAGATCAACATGTTAATCAGTCAAGTTATGTATTTTAGATTCAGTGGTGTGGAGTCCAAGTGTGAAGCACAGATCAGGAAAAAAGGTCACCACCATGGCCAGTATATATTGTTATTTGGATGCTGGTGTGACCATGCTAGGTGATCAGCTAAACCAGCAACAGATAGTATATCAGCATATTTATACCTACATAAATCATAATGTATATTTCAGCCAAGTTAGCGATGTTAGCTTCAGTTTTGCTGCAGAGAGTCAAAGTTAATGTTAGGTCAATATAGTAAGCTAAGTTATCTGTGTTAGCTTCAGGATTGGTATGTAAAGTGGAAGTGAACGTTGGATCAACACCACCAGTCAGTTAAGTTAGCAATGTTATCTTCAGTATTGCAGTGTTGAGAGTGGATGCTAACATCAGATCAATATAGTAAGCTAGGTTATACATGTTAGCTTCAGAATTGGTTATAAAGAGTGGAAGCTAATGTTGGATCAACACCAACGGTCAGTTAAGTTAATGATGTTAGCTTCAGGATTGCTATAGCGAGTGGATGCTAACATCAGATCAATATGGTAAGCTATCTGTTAGCTTCAGTACTGCAATAGAGAGTGAATACTAATATCAGATCAATATTGTAAGCTAAGTTATCTATGTTAGCTTCATTACTAGTATGGAGAGTGGAAGGTACTGTTGGATCAACATCATTAGTCAGTCAAGTTAGCTATTTTAGCCAGCCGGCTAAAAAGACCACAGTTGTAGGAACGTGGCGGATAGGGAATGTCCCGATCAGGATTTTGCTTAGAGCCTGGGAAGGCTTGGATTAACACTTATGGATTGGCTCTGGTCAACTAGAGTGGTTTACTGGACAAAAGATAAGAACGAATGTTGCTCTCGCCCAAAAGACTCATCATCATCTGTCTTTAATCACAGTTACACAAGAACACAAATGGACCAATCACAGCCATGCTTCTGGTTCTTGTCTAAGAAGAGATAATGCTGCACTCTGATAGGCCGAGGTTCTCACCTGATAGGCTGCCGTGGCATCGTGGCTGGTGTCAGTGCCCAGGCTGGCCAGCCTTTCCTTCAGCTTGTAGTGGGAGTGATGGCGCATGCAGAAGAGCGTGCCGGACAAGCCCAGCACCACGGCGATAAACGCCACGGAAACCATCGACAGGACAAGGAAGTTGCTGGGCTCCACATGGCTGTGCCTGATGATGGGAATCTGATTCAGCTTGGTCCTCTGGAAAAGGAGAGAGAGAGAGAGAGAGAGAGAGAGAGAGAGAGAGAGAGAGAGAGAGAGAGAGAGATACACATATTTTAGTGGACTGTATGACTCTTAGAATGAAAAACAGGAAGGCAATACCAAAGGTATGGAACCACAAAGAATCAAAGAATAAGAATATCAACAAAGAGTTAATACGCATATTTATATAATATGATGTGCCTCCTAACAACCACCTGGAAGACCTGGTGGACCCCAAAACTGCCCCCATCAGATAAACAGCACTTAAAGCTTTCATCTTTGAGAGAGAGGAGAAAATCAAGCTGCTTCAGATCTGAAAACATCCACAGGTGTTTCTGTCCATCCTTCCACTGTGAGAAGACGACTCAGCGCTGTGGGTCTGAAAGGATGTGTAGTTGTCAAGAAGAACCTCACTGAGAAAAGGAGACGGACACATCAAACAAAGAAGCTGAACGATGGACTGACCACCCCAGAGTCCAGACCTCAACACCACTGAATGGGTTTGATTACTTCAGAAAATGATCAACCAGCTTCTAAGACTGAACTTTGGAGGTGTAACTTGTACTTAATGGCCATTTTGACTGGATGGTAAATTACCTTTGCCTAGTGTTGTATAGGTCATGTCAGTTGATGTAAGCACCAAGAACGTCATAGAACAATAACTTTGGTGCCCTAAAGAACCTTCAAACAGATGAGACGTGTGAGGAACCCCTACATAATGTAACATTTCTACACCACACACTCTAAATGAGGGACAGGTTCTATTTAAAACCATGAGTTCTATATAGAACCATTTCATGCTTAAATGGTTCTCTGCATGGTGAAAAAGCTAGTTCTTCAGATTTGTATATGGTTTTATACAGAACCTTTTTGAAAATGGTTCTTTATAGCGTCTGCTATTGTTAGACTGTCAAGCTTGTAACAATAGAAGAACCCTTTTTGATGCTATATAGAACTATTTTCAAACTGGTTCCACTTTGAACCATCTGCAAGCTTAAAAGGTTCTTTGCATGGTGAAATAGTTCTTCAGATTGATGAATAATTTGTTGTATATGGTTCTATATAGCACCAAAAAGGGTTCTCCTGTTGTTGCAAGCTTTGCGTCGCCACAATAAAAGAACATTTTTGGTGCTATATAGAACCATTTTCAAAAACCATGTACAACACATTCTCAGTCAGTCTGAAGAACCATTTCCCCATGCATAGAACTGTTTAAAACATGAAATGGTTCTATATGGAACTCACTGTTTTGAATAGAATGATTTTCTTTATTGAAGAGTGCATAAGCGTGCATTTCTAGAACCTTTACATTATGTGGAGTTCTGGGTTCTCCACCCTTGCACTCATTTGCAGAGATGTTTTTTTCAATGAAGATTCAAAGATTAAAAGGTTCTCAGAGAAACAAAACTAGATCTTATATGATATTAAATCATTTTAGCATTTTAACTTTTATTGTTAAGATTGTACGTGTAGGTCTGACCACACAAAGCTCAGGGTTCAGAATAAATCAGGGTGAAAAGGTCACCAGGTTCAGCTCAGCGAATGGCCGGCCAACCACTGGACTCTCAGGTTGGAGCTGGAGGCCTCAGCGTGTTGACGGTATGTGTGTTTAAACAGTCAAAGGTCCACACACATGCACACGCTCTGCTGGAGAGCGAAGGTCTTGGCAGGGTGAAGCATGCCACCACTGAGCAATTAGGGCCAGTGCTCACTGTGCAAGCTTGTTGCTAATTAGCCCTGAGGCCCAAGCTGGCCCAGGCCAGAGTGGAGGGGTGGAGTGGGTATGGACTGAGGTGGGATTGGACTATGGGGGGAGTCTAGTAGTTGGCTGGGATCTCTGAGTTAATGAAAATGGGAGGTGGGGGTAGGCTTAAAAGGATCCAAACCTGACTAGCTCCCCAAACGTAGTATGGAGGGGGTTGTCAGGCTTGTTAGCCCCGCAGGAGGTGGGGTGACAGCCGGGGGTAAAGCTGCCGGGGGGGGATTTGGGGGGTTTGGTATTGTTTCCAAATGCCTCCGAGACTGAATAGATGGAGGCTTTCAGAGCTGGGGTTTCAGAGCAGTGGGGCTTTCTTTCTCTAACTGCCTTCTCCAAAGCTAAAAGAAAGGATCTGTTCGTATTCATTCCTATCAAAATCTAGTCAGCGCCTACTGAACACCCCTCCCTCCCACACACAACACACGTTTTTATACCTTATAAGGACATTGAGACACTTAAATTTGCCCTATGTATGAAATTACCTGTATATGTAACTACAACAGGAATAATAATGTGTGTCATAGTAGATGGTTCCATTTGCATTAATATATATAAAGTACCTATATGTAATAATATATCCAATATCTATACAAATATTATAATATAGGTATATATACTAATATGCATATGTATACATATGAGTAAGATAGGTATGTATACTGATATGCATATGTATACATATGAGGACCCATAGATATTGCTTACATGTAATATACATATGTATTTACATATATATTAACCCTAAACTGAGGACCTAAAAGCATTTCATAAGACGGATATTCCATTTCTATTAGATATGGAATATATACTATATATATATATATATATATATATATATATATATATATATATATATATATATATATATATATATATATATAGAGAGAGAGAGAGAGAGAGAGAGAGATAGATAGATAGATAGATATAGAGTACCTATATGTAATAGTATATCCAACAACACCATGTATATTTATACATCTATTATGGTATAGCATAGTATAGTATATTATACACTATTATATATTTAAGTACCCATACATGTTGCATGCATGTAATATTGCATATATAATAAGTATATATAAGTAGCTAATAATATATTTGATAATATTTTTTGATATATATATATATATATATATATATATATATATATATATATATATATATATATTATAAATTCTATATATACTATATATTCCATTCTTCTTCTTCTTTTTTGTGGTTTTCTTACACAGTGGGGATATTTTTTTGACCAGAAAACGCAGGAAAACAGACACTCATCTCCACAGAGATGACAACATCACAACATCAGCATCTGCGCTCGCCATGCTTTCTGCCTTCAGCCGTCGCTGCAATCTTCTAAGCGAATTCGTAGGGGATTCTGATTCGTGACGTTTTTGCTTTCGGCACAGATTTAAAGTCACGTTTAGATGCTAGCTACTCCCGGAAAGCAAAACACAGACAGCGCACAGGCTGGCAGCATTCGCGGCTAATTGTGAGAGTGGGGAGTTTTCCCGGATTAGCCGCTGTGCGCTCGTGGAGAGGGACTGGCTTGGGTTTATGTTTTTTTTTCCGTCGCCATTGTTGCTGAAGGAACGGCCTCACATCAAACACGGCGGAGAGAGAGAGTGTGGAGAAAGACGGCCACATTCAGGCGGCTCTTCGAGCTTTAGAATGAACCTCAGCACCAAACCACCCCCACCCCCAACACCACCACTACACCGACCGGTCCATGGGCTTAGCGCTCTCAATCGAATTACATGAAAAGATTTCCAACATGAAAAGGTGGCCCTGAAAAGAAAATCGTGCTTGGCTAAATAATGTCCGCAATTAATTATAACTAAATGGAATAAATGCATTAGTCTTTTGAAGGGATTGGAAGGGGACGAGGGAAGGAGAGGAAAAATGAAAAACATGAAAATGAAGAGCTGAAAAAGCGTCAGGCCTGCGTGACGCAGCCCATCTGTATATGTGTTAAACAGAAGTGAAGACATGAAAACTCCAATAATTAGAAACACACATACATTTCATATCAAAACGTGCATTAATGCCAAACGCTGGGAAATATGGTGAATATCAGAGCTGAAAAGATGCATTAGAGCAGCACACAGTATAACAAGGAAACACCCATCTTCTGAATTTTGGATAATACAAAACAAAAAGCAGATATATCCTCACGATGATCCCGAGGTGGGTGGTAAAGGGGGGTAACACCCCCCCCACCACAGAACAAAAAGCACGACACACTCTGCAGACATAAAATTATCATTCATTATCCGTCCGGCACAATCGAACAAATATAAACTGATCTCTTTCGTCCTAATCTGTCTAAGAGTGTGTAAAACGTCCTGCTTTTCCGCGAGAGGCGTTCTTATCGCTCGTTTTACAGAGAAAACCACGAAATAACCTCACCGAGCACCAAAGAAGGGTTTGAAAAAAAGAAAGAAAGAGAGAGAGAAACAGGGGGAGAGAGGCAGGGATGAAGAATGAGAGAGTGAGGTAGGGAGAGAGAGAGCGAGAGAGAGTCTTTTATCCTTTTTTTGTGCATTCATCTGCGGGGAATAAAATTGGACTTGCAAATTCGCGCTTCACGTGGGCAAGGCGAGAAAAGACTGGAATCAAAAGTCTCATCAAAAGAAAACACGTTTCCAAGCTGGGTCTGAAAAAAATATATAAACTGAAAAGACGGAAAAGAGAAAGGAAAGAAAAGGAAAAATGCAAAAAAAAAAAACGAAATCTGGAAAGCGACATGAGAAAGCTCTAAAATATGAGCATAACTTTTTCTAGAATCATTGAATTTCATATTTTGTGTGAGTTTAATTTCACACCCATGGACGCTGATTTTTTATCGTCTGTTCAAGCTGTGTCAAACATGTTCACACAGAGATATGCTGGGCAAAAAATGTAAAAATAAATAAAAATTTAAATAAATGTGTTTATTTTATTTTAAATTCTGTATTCTGTAATCAATAAACATCAAATGAGCTCATGATTTAGCTCTACATAAATCAACAAAGGAAGCAAATCATTAGTAGAATAGAGCAAAACAGAAAAAAAATTACATGTAACGAAAATAATAAAAAAAAAGAAATTAAAAAAGAAGAAAAAAAGAGAAAACTCAATGGAAGGTTGGGCTTTGCGGGTCACCAGTTTTGAAACGATGAGCGTTTCTGATGAATTCAAAGGCACAAAGCCGTGGAGCTGCGATATGGTGGGAATTCCAGGATTATTTTAATGTTAA